CCTCCTTCTCCTCCTCCTCCTCTCCTCCTCTCCTCCTCTCCTCCTCCTTCTCCTCCTCCTCATCATCATCATCATCATCACCACCATCCTCATTGCCATCATCATCTGGCTTCTTAGAACATCCTCCTCCTCCTCCTCCTCCATCGCCATCATCCTTCTCCTCCTCCTCTTATAAACCCTCATTATCATCGCCATCGCTGCCATCATAACCCGGCTGGTTACTTCTTCCTCCTCCTCCTCCTCCTCCTCCTCCTCCATCGTCATCATCGTTCCATTTCTCCTCCTCATCATCATCAGCAGCAGCAGCATCACCGTCATCATCGTTCTCCTCCTCCTCCTCCTCCTCATCATCATCATCATCATCATCATCATCATCATCATCATCATTACCACCATAGCCGTAAGCAATCATCATCATGAACCATCATCATCATCGTGATCGTCATCATCAATACAACTCTCTCCTCCTCTTCCCTTGCCGCCATCCTTCTGCTCCTCCCCCTCCTCCTCCTCCTGCTACTGCTGCAGCTGCTGCTGATGATCATCATCATCATCCTCATCATCATCCTCATCCTCCTCCTCCTCCTCATCCTCATCATCATCATCATCATCATCATCATCATCATCAATCGTCATCATCATCATCATCATCATCATCAATCATCATCATCATCATCATCAACAACAACATGATAATCATCATCACCAGTCTACTGCAACACCATAAACGATCATTGATGAAAATTATCGCCATCATCATAAACTAATCATTGATGAAAAAGAAGTCGTTATTCATTTTTTTATTTTCTATATTTTATCGGCTGTGATTATCATCCGGGGTGATTGTAAACGAATCTTTGTCGTTATTCAATTTCTATATTTCTATATTTTATATTTTAGATTTCCATATCTTCTTATATAATTAATATTTTCATCATACCGTTATTTTTTTCTATGTTTCATATTTTTATATTTTATATTTATATTTTATTTTATATTTTATATTTTATATTTTTATTCCAACTCAAGCGAGAGTGCGTCGTGCCGGCTAAGAATTTCGACGGGACATCACTGCCATTGAAAATCCGAATGACACAGACAGGATTAAGCATCATGGCCCCTGCACACGCAAGGAGTACACGTCTAAATCTCAAAAATATGTATAATCTCAAAATTTGTATAATCTCAAGAATATGTATAATCTCAAAAATATGTATAACCTCACGAATATGTATATCTATAAGCATCGTCGATCAGCACTGCCTACGGTAAACCGTAGGCAGAGAGAGAGGGACAAAAGGGAGAAGAGGACAGCAAACGAGGGGCTGAGACAAACTGTTTCGTCGGAGTTTCACCAACCGACTCATCAGGAGGAGGCTGAACCGTATTTATATATATCGTCAAATAGTACATATATTATCACAACCCTACATATAATCATTTTTTCCTGTTTTTCTTTTTCTCTTTCTTTTTCCTTTTTTTTCGCATTTGCGCTCTGATATTCATGTGACATATATATATCGTCACAAATTTATCAGAGCGCAAATGCGAAAAAAAGAAGAAATAAATTCATTTTTTATCTTGACAATATATATATGATGATGATGATTGCTTACGGTTTACGGGGCGGCTCTGTTTGACGATATACATATCGTCACAAAGATATCAGAGCGCAAAAGCGAAAAAAAAAAAACACGAAAAAAAAATCGATTCATTTTTTTTTATCTTCTTACTTACAAGACTCCCCCTGTTCAGTCAAAACCTCCTGCGTACAAGGCCGCACAAGTGGATGTAGGTTGAGCGGCGGCTGCCCCCACCCCCCCAAGTGTGTCATATCGACCCACTTATATATATTCATTAGCGGGACGGACCTAACCTCGATATCATGTCGCCGCTGTTGGCCAGCCCACCCACCCTCTCCCATTCTCCTCTTCCCGATTAAGCAGAAGAAGAACAACAAGAACATGAACAAGAACAAGGAGGAGGAGGAGGAGGAGAAGGAGGTGGAGGAGGAGGAGGAGGTCATCTTGTGCAAACGGGTATGTTTTGTGGAGAGGGAGGAGGGGGAGGAGGAGGGGGAGGAAGAGGGGAAGGAGGACGGGGAAGGAGGAGGGGGAAGGAAAGGGGGGGGAGGAGGGGGAGGAGGAAGGGAAGGAGGCGGAAGTCCGAGGGTGGATGACGAGGAGGCGGAGGAGGTCATCTATGTTTTGTGGAGAGGGAGGAGAAGAAAGGGGAGGAGGAGGGGGAGGAAGAGGAAGGGGAGGAGGAGGGAGGTAAGATGGTGGACGATGGAGGTAAGTGGGAGGTAAGAGGGAGGAGGAGGAGGAGGAGGAGGAGGAGGTCAGCTTGGGCGAACGGAGGAAGAACAGCGGCTATATTGCGAAGGGGAAGGAGGAGGAGGAAGAGGAGGGGGAGGAGGAGGAGGGGAAGGAGGAGGAAGAGGAGGAGGAGGAGGAGGAGGAGGGGGAGGGGGAGGAGGGGGTGGAGGTTATCATCGAGTGGCACACCCGCATCACGAGAAGCAAGCAAGCGAGGAGGTGGGGCAGGGCCATTTGGATAAAGCGCCTCCGAGTACGAGTCCCTAAATGCGTGAAATGGTGGATGTATATTCAGCTAAAGAGTGCAAAGATACACCCTCCATGTTCTTTTCTCCTTTTCACATTTGAGGAGTGTCGAGGGGCAGGGCTCATACTATAAATAGCCAACAGGGAAAGAAGAGCTGGACGAGCAAAGGAAGAGAGAGCGAGATGTCCTTCTTTCTAAAGGGGGGGGGGGTAGTACTTTTTTTGAAAGTAGAAGCGACCGAGATGTCCCGTATCCGTTAAAATTGGAACGATACAGAACACATTAATTAATTAACATTAATTAATTAAAATGAATAATAATTAGCGATGGCCGCTGCGCTTTCAAGGATGACACGTCCAAAAAAAAAGAGAAAAAAAAGACGGGGATAAATCGAGAACTGGTCCAAATCAAAGATTAAAAAAAAAAAAAAAGAAGCAAGGGAAGGCAGATAAATGAAGGGAGGGCAAACCAAAAAAAAAAAAAAACAGAGAGACAGAAAAGAAACGAAGCGAGACATGGGGCCTCCCTCCACCACTCTCACCAAAGTGCAAAATGCGAATGGATCTTCCGCTAAAACATGGAAACATGCATCGACATAAATAATTTTTGTCTTTTGCGCATGTGGTGAGTGGTGGAGCGAGGCGCTATGGCCAGAGGAGAGGAAAGATCCATTAAAAAAAAAAAAAAAAAAAAAGAGAGAAAAATATAAGGAGAGGAAGATCCTTTACAAAAAAACGGAGCGGAAGATGCAAGAGAGAAGAGGAGAAGGAACCTGGCCCTGTACCTACGCCAGATTCATTTTCCGGTAGGTGTTTTTTGCCCAACGGGAAAGGTTTGGGCGCCTTTTAAAATAAGGTTTCTGAAAGAAGAAGGGAAAAAAAAAAAAAAAAAAGGAGAGGTTTGGGCGCCTTTGGGAAAAAAAAAAGGTTTCCTGGGAAAAAGAAAAAAAAAGGTTTCTGGAAAAAAAAAAAAAAGGTTTCCACGTGTGCACTTTCCATCAATTATAACGCCTGAATCTGGACGCCTTTGTGGAAAGGTGCCAAAAAAAATGGAGATCAAACTGCTTTTCTGCATCTCCGCTTAAAACGCGTCCAGATTCAGGCGTTGAATCCAATCCTCTTTGCTACCGTCTTCCACCCCAACATAACGCACCCTCATTCGGGCTGTACCGGCCCAGAAAGATAGGTTCTATACATTCATTATCAGGGTGCGTTATGTTCGGGGAAGACGGTAGTAAGACCTCGCCCTCAGGAGATGGCAGGAAGATGGAGAAGGGGGCAGAAAACTCACCTCTTTGTCACTCTGAGCCCGATGGAGATTAACTGCCGCTCTCTTTTTCTTTTTTCTTCTTTCTTTTTTCCTCTCCCCTTCTCCTCCCTCCTCCCTCCTCCTTAACTGCCGCTCTCTCCGCTGGTAGCGTGCGCTGCACGGACCTCCCCCAGATGGTCCAGGGGGGAAGAACCGGGCTCCGCTCGCTACCCGCTGCGTAGTGACCGATGGCGATGGCGATGAGAGTCCAGATAGAGCGCAAGCGCGCGGGGGGGTGGTGTGAAGTGCAGAGAAGCGCGGGGTCGTGGCACTGGTTCCACGTCTGGGCCGGTGACAGGGCGACCGGTTGCAGGCGGGCGAAACGGTGAACCGGTGAACCGGCGAGCCGTCAAAGGCGGACAAAACGGTCGGCCCGGGACCGGGCGACCGGCAGCAGACGGGCGAAACGGTGGCACCCGGCAGCAGGCGGGCAAACGGGGACGGTAACCCGTGACCTGGCGAGGGGACAGGGCGACCGGCAGCAGACGGGCGAAACGGTGGCACGGTTACAGGGCGACCATCAGCAGGCACGCAAACGGGGCCGGTGACAGGGCGACCGGTCGCGGCGGGCCAAACAGTGAACTGGTGACCTGGCGAGCCGTAAACGGCCGACAAAACGGTCGGCCCGGGAACGGGCTACCGGCAAACGGTGGCACCGTGACAGGGCCACTCGCAGCAGCTGGGCAAAACGGCGCGGCACCAACTGACCTATCGTAGCTCAATGGCTACATCCGTGTAAAGTTGAAACAGACTGGAGTTTGAAGTCCACTTGAATAAGACGAGTGAAAACAGCTCCGAAGGGTTTGAACAGGGGGCCGGTGTCGGCTGGGTGTCGGCTGGGAGGGGCGCGAGTTCAGTGTGTGGGGTGGGACGTTGCTTTCTTTCCTGTTTTCCAGCGTTTGGCCATCGCCCTCAGCATGGCTGACCTGATGTGTCTCCCTGTGGAATCAAAGGTTTCATCGCGGGGAGGTTTTATAACTTTTCCCGAACCAATTTCAGTATGAACACGAAGAAGGGACAAATGCGGCTCAGGAGGCAATGTGAGAACGACTCGCAAAAAAGGACTTGAACCCCGAATATGTGATTATGATTCCGCTGTTGTAACCAATTCAACCAACAGAAAAATTTTCCACAATTAAATAATCATTCTATAATAAAATTACATTCTAAATTTCAAATTTTCATTCCATCTTAAAAAATGTCATTCCAATTTTAAAATGGGGTAACTTCGGCGCAGGCACGAAAACAGTTTGTAATTGCACTTCAGGCAATCTCGCGAATACAACACACCCCCACGCAACCCCACCGGACCCGAAACGTAGGTCATATACATTCACCATTACCGACCCTTTTGCCTCAAGTGCAATTACAAACTCAAACCCTGATTGCGCCGTAGTTTTCTCTTTTAAAAATTTTTGTCTTACTTGAAAACTTTCCTCCAAGAATGAGGTATCCCTTCTTATTTGAACTGCATGCTAGAGATGGAATGAAAGTCTGTATGAATTCATGAAATATTTTAATTGGACTTACATTCTAAGTAAGGATTTCCAGTCATAAATAGGTTAATCCAATCTAAATTAGACGATATTTGTTGTAGTAGAACGAAAGTCTAATTAAAATATTTCATAAATTCGTCTAGACTTTCATTCCATCTTGAACAAATAGATGTAGTTGGAAGGAAAAATCCATATTTAGACGGGAACTTATCAAATTAAATAGAAAATTTTAGAATTGGACAAACATTGGAATGATAATTTATAAATATGAAGGTTTTTTTTTTTATGGAATGTTTTTTCAACTTTCATTTCTCATGGAAATTTTTCTGTTTGTCGTGAACCACTTGATATTTTTTCTGGTGGAGTTTGTTTTTCAACACTACCTCACCCAAGACAGTTGGAAAGATATAAAAAAATAGTGAATTTACCTGAGTGTCGCTAAAAAACTCTGAGTAAATTTTTGACAAAAGTTAGTCCGTTGGCTATCAACACGTTCAGTGATTGTTTTTGTTTTTGCAAAGCCTTTGAAGAAAGAAGCAAGTACGTTGTTTCGGAATTACAACAACTTATGAGTTCTTAAAATGCTTCTTGTTAGAGTTTTTCAAGTTGCAACAACATGAATTATGCAATATTAGTTTATGTTCAATTACGCAAATGATTGGAGAATCGTGTATAAATTATCAGATTATACGTTTCGCACCAAATTACAAACAAAACCTGCAAGCAGTCTTATATCAACAAATAGAGTCCAACGTATTAAGCATTAACTTTGTTACATTCTTGTCTTTAATACTTTGAGTCTTACGGATACCTTACTTCATGGCGGACATACTATATAATAATTAAAAATATTATTTTCCTCTTTTAAGTTATTCATGTTAGTCGGTCTAGTATTGGTCGTAACTTTGGTTATATCCATTCACTTACACTCCGTATTTAGTCATATATTTTGACTTGATACATAAATTTTTCCTTACGCTCATATGTGATCCTCTTGTGTAACGTTGTAGTTCACTCACAGTTTCTAGTTCGTCGTATCTTTGGCTTGGTCCATCTCTTCTTCCTTATTCACACATATGAACTTTCATAAAACGTAGCAGTTCAAAATGAAGCCATATCAATAATCCACTAATAATTTCTTACCTACCTAACCCATATTTCGCTTGATCTCTATCTCGTTCTATGTCTGTAAGGGTAATTCATTGCTTTTGTCTACACGTAAGAGACTATCGACTACGACAGAGGATTCGACGTGAGAATGTTTCTTTCAAGGATCAATTTTTCTTGTTTCCACGTCGTGTTTAGATGTTAGCTGTCTTTTGTACCTGCTTCATTTGGTGGTGATTCGAGATTTTTACTGTTGTCAAGATAGGATGGGGGTGTATTAGGTGTTTTTCTGTTGAAACGGACCTACTTGCCTTATCTCTTCTCTTTGTTGCTTTTGTTTTACTCAACGTCCAGTTCTTGATTTTTTCTCATTTATAATCGTGAATAATGACTGTTGTGATAGTATGTAGTGACTGGCTTATTATACATAACCACTGCTCAATACAAATGCGTTGGTTGCGACATATGTAGCACACGGAACATGTTAAGCGCCCTACCAAGCATTTGAACATGTTCGCCCCACCAAGCATTTGAACATGTTCGACCCTCGACCGAGCGGGACCGAACATGTTCAGCCGAGCATCATAGTGGGCAGCAATTGGTGTGTGTGTGTGTGTGTGTGTGTGTGTGTGTGTGTGTGCCAGTGTGTGTGTGATTATGTGTTTGTGTGCAGTAAATACATCAATGACATCATCTCCATCAGTTACTACTGTAACAGTTGTTGTAGGTGTTGCATCAGTTGTATCAACAAATGTATATGTGTGTATGTGTGTGCGCGTGTGTGTGTGTATGTACGTGTGTGTGTGATTATGTATTTGTGTGCAGCAAATACGACAACTACATCAGGTGCATCAGTTACTACGACAACAGTTGTTGTAGGTGTTGCATCAATTGCGCCAACAGATGTATGTGTGTGTGTCTGCGTGTGTGTGGGGTGTGTGTGTGTATGTATGTATGTATGTATGTTCATGAGTGATGTGCAAAATGATACCCACGACAACCCCCAAACCCCTATATATATATTAAAAAAAAATAAAAAAATCGAGCTTTGTCGATTTTGGACCACCTTTGAGCTCGGTACCGAGCATTCGGTCAGGTTCGGTCATCGAGCCTGACCGCGTTGCTATGCAGGGTGTAGCTTTTTTACTTTAGGTATAAGTAAGTTCTTCACTTCTATATGAGTTCATCGATCTAATTTGATACTCATATCTTTTGACATTTTCAATTGGTCGTTGTCTCATACTTAGATTCTCTTGCTTCGGTACTCATTTTCCTTCTCTTCAAGTTCTTCGAGATAAGAATCACTTGCTGAACTTTGGTTAAATATTTCTAGTATAATCAAACATCAAAAGCTAAGAAAAAAGAAAAAATGTTATTTTCAACGACAAAGGTAAGATGGAAGCTGGACAAACTTGAG